AGTGCCTTATGAATGCCCAGTCTTGAGTTGCTAGATCTTTTTGGAGTCTGGCCCATTTAGCAGAGTGAAAGTGCCACACAGCACAATGGAGCGTATTCTCAATGTGAAGGCAGGACTTTGTCTCCACGAGGACGATGCAGTGGTCACTCTGACCAATACTGTCATGGACAGATGCATCTGCAGCTGCTAGATTAACAAGGATGAGGTCAAGTATGTTTTTCCCTCTTGTTGATTCCCTCACCACCTGCTGCAGACCCAGTCTGTCCTTAAGGACCATGACCAGGTCAATCAGTCGTAGTGCTGCCAAGCCACACTTTGTGGTGGACATTGAAATCCCCCACCCAGAGTACATTCTGCACTCTTGCCACCCTCATTGATTTGTCCACATGTTGTTCAATGTGGAGGAGTACTGATTCAAGAGTCATGGGTAGATTGTACTTTGTAATCAGCAGGAGGTTTCTTTGCCCATGTTTAACTTGAAGCTATGAGGTCCAGAGTCATTGTTGAGGACTCGCAGGGCAACTGCCTTCTGACTGTATACTACTGTGCCATCACCTCTGCTGGGTCTGTCCTAATGGTGAGACATAACATATCCAGGGTTGGTGATGGTGGTGTCTGAGACATTGTCTATAACGTGTGATTCTGTGAGTATGATTATGGCAGCATGTGAGACAGCTCTCCCAATTTGGCAGTAGCCCCTAGATGTTAGTGAGGAGGACTTTGCAGGGTTAACAGGGCTGTTTCTGCTGTTGTCTTTTCCAATGCCTATGTCGATGCCATGTGAACCTTCCAGTTTCATTTCTTTGAGATTTTGTCATGACTAATACAACTGATTGGCTTGCTAGGCCATTTCAGAGGGCAGTTGACAGTCAACTACATTACTATTGGTCTGGAGCCACATGCGGCCAGACCAGGTGAGGACAGTAGATTTCCTTCCCTGAAAGACATTGGTGAACCAAATGGGTTTTTCCGACATTTGGCAATGATTTCGTGATCGTCAGTAGATTCTTAATTCCAGATTTCTTTTATTGAATTCAAATTTCACCATATGCTGTGGCTGAACGTTACTTGAATTTCTGGATTAATAGTCTAGCGATGATACCACTAGCCCATCGCCTCTCCCTATTATTCCTGAAAGATCGCCACCAATGCATTCACTATGTTCTCAGCCATCTCCTTCGGAACTCTGAGGTGTAGTCCATCTAGTCTGGGGTGATTTATCTACCTTCAGACCTTTCAGCTTCTCCAGCACCTCCTTAGTGGTGGTCAGTACACTCACCACTGCCTCGTGGCGCTCATGATATGCCAATGGTGTTTTCCACTTTGAACATTAATGCAGTGAACCTCTCCTTCCCCATTTCTTTGTTTCCCATAACTACTTCTCCAGGAGTGCAATGTTCACGCTAGCCTCTCTCTTGCTGTTTACATTCTTGCAATTTTCTTTTATACTGCTAGGTAGCTTACCCTCATATTTAATTTTCTCACCCCCCCTGCCCATTGCTTTTTTAGTTGTCGTCTCCTAGTTTTTAAAGGCTACCTAATCCTGTAGTTTACCACTAAACTTCACCCATTTGTAGGAGCAAATTACTGCAGGTGCTGGAATCAGTACTGAAAACAAAAAAAATGCGGAGGTCGCAGCAGATCAGGCAGCATCCATAGACAGAGAGCAAGCTAATGTTTCGAGTTTAAAGCTGAAGTCAAGTGTGGCAGGGGCAGCATTTATGCTATAGTTGTGGGGCACTGTGTACGGGTGGTGGGGTGTAGAGTGCTGGAGGGGAAAAGATGTTGCTTGTTCAGATTAAGTGATCAGAATGTGAGGAAGGTAGATCGATGGCGTGTCTAACTGCTAGACGTGAAAGGACAGACACTGAGATGGGGGAGAGGAGAAAGGACGTCATGAAAGAGAATGTAACAAGTAAAGGTAAAAGAAAGGGACGAAATGGGAGTTGGTTCACCATTTGAAGGTATTGAACTCAATATTAAGTCCAGAAGGCTGTAAAGAGCCGAATCTGAAGATATGTTGTTCCTCCTGTTTGCACTTTGAATCACTGGAGCACTGCAGCATGCCAAGGACAGACACATGGACATGTGAGCAACACATTGTGTTCAAATGACCAGCTATAGGAAGGTCGAGGTCATGCTTGCACACAGACTGGAGCTATTCCACAAAACAGTCACCCAGTCTGTGTTTGGTTTCTCCAGTGTAGAATAGGCCATTTGGGTGCAGTGAATACAAAACACACAATTGGAGGAGGTAGAGGCAAAATGCTGCTTTGCTTGGAAAGACCATTTAGGTCCTTGGATGATGAGCAGGGAGAAGGTGAAATGGCAAGTGTTGCCCTTCAGTGGTTACATTGGAAGTTCAAAATTCCGACTACTCTGCAGACACAGCCTGATGTGAATGTTGTATAACTTGTGCACTGTTTCATGATCTCTCTCTCCCTACCTCGCGCAACCTCGCAATTTAATAAAGTTATTTATTCATGGAAGGTGGGCTGGACAGACATTTATTGCCTGTGCCTCATTGCCCTTGAACTAACTGACTTGCTCAGCCATTCCAGAGGGTAATTAAATATAGGTCTTAGTGTGAAAGAAATCAAAGGGCTTGGGGAAGGAGCAAGTACAGGGTACTGAGTAGGATAATCAGCTTTAATTATACTGATTGGTGGAGCAGGTTCAAAGGACCAAATGGCCTACTCCTGCTCCTTTATTTGATATTTCTTGTGTTGTCAGCAGGCCTCAGTCAAATCAGGGAGGATAGCCTTTGCCCAAGGGATCCTGACACAGTAAGTTAAGTGCAGCCTCTAATATCAGTCCAGGGTCCGCTCAGAAACAAAAATAGAAGTTGCTGAAAAAGCTTGGCAGGTCTGGCAGCATTTGTGAAGAGAAATCAGAGTTAATGTTTCGGGTCTGATGATCTTTCCTCAGAAAGACTGGACCCGAAACATTGCCTCTGATTTCTCTTCACAGGAGCTGCCAGACCTGCTGAGCCTTTCCAGCAACTCCTGTTTTTTTTTCTGATTTGCAGCATCTGTAATTCTTTCGGTTTTTACATGGTCTGCTCAGTATGGGTGAAGTCATGAGCTTTTTCTGATAAGGCCTGAGGAGCTGAGCGATGTGCACCACACCAATCATCTTTACTTTTTCTGCCTTATTGGGAGCCGTTTTCCTTCCAGAACGAGAGAGACAGAGAGAGGGGGGACAGGTATTATGGGAAGTAGAAGTGGGTAGCACAGTTATTACTGTTGGTGCAGGTGGGGAGGTGGCCTGAGTAAAGTGAGTAGGCTGCACAGAGGATATGCAGGGTTAATGGTGTCACAGGTTGTAGTGAGTGAGATAGAGTGGGGAAGGCATTGCCTGCAGTGAGAGTGGGAGAGAACGTAGGTAGGAGGTGAGTGCTGCAGCAGAGACACAGAGAGTGTGAGATATCAGAGAAAAGGTGGTGAAATTCCACAGGCTTCTCACTTAGAACATTGGCAGATTGGAGAAGGTCTTTATCTTTCTTCCTACATTGCTGGGCTTTCCTCCAGCCGGCATGCCTGGTATTGTGGCCTGCACTCCTGGTCCTGACCAAAAAGTAACTTCCGCCCCTGCTCCATTCCATCCAGCAGGAGATCCAGGACCCTGTCCACAAAGTGGAGAGCTAACTTCCCCCTGTCTGCCATATCCAGGGCAAAGGTCAGGAATCTCCAGGGCAGCTTTGGATTATTGGTGCTTGTCTGGGTGCACAGTGGCCTTTTAAAGATGGCACCTGTATCAAGTATGCTGATAAATTCCAGGATATCCACTGAGTGGAGAAATGTTCCTGAGACAGCATGTAGTAAGAGGTAGTGGACATCAAACATCAAAGGGATGGGAGCAGCAATTAATACAGTGGCATTTTAAAACAAAATACTGTGGATGCTGGAAATTTGAAATAAAAGCAAAAGGTTCTGAAGAAGCTCAGCAGGTTCTGGCAGCATCTGTCTAGAGAGAAACAGACTTAATGTTTCAAGCCCAGTTGAAGAACAGTCATACTAAACTTGAAACATTCACTCTGTTTCTCTCTCCACAACTGCTACCAGACCTGCTGAATTTCTCTAGCATTTTCTGTTTATATTTATAATTAATGTGGTTAGCTTGATCAGATTTGGCGTAGAAACCTGTTTGGCAACACAGCAAGAACGCCTTCAATAAACTTGATGTGTCCTGTACTTGGCTAAATAAAAACAGAAACATATAAAATAGGAGCAAAGTGAAGCATTCAGCCTAATGAACCCAGTCCACAACCAACATCGTCATGACTGATCCTATATCTTAACAACATACTCCCACTCTCTCCATATAATCCATGACAACTTTAATCTATGGAAATCTATTTCTTTCTTAAATATATTCAGTGACTTGGCCTTGACAACCTTTTGGAGTTAAGAATTCCACAGGTTGACCATCATCCGAGTTAAGAAATTTCTCTGAACTCAGTCCAAAATGGCCTACCTCATATTCTGAGACCACGGCCTCTTATCCTGGCCAGGGGCGCCATCCTCCATGCAATTAGTCTGTTCGGATCTGTCAGGATGTTATGTTTCAATGAGATTACCCTCTCATTCTTCTAAACTCCAGTGAATATAGGTCCAGCCAAACTAACCTGTCCTCAAAGGACAAACCTGCCATCCCAGGAATCAGTGTGGTGAACTTTTGCTGTTCTGCCTTTACACCAGTGTATCTTTCCTGAAGTAAGGAGACTAAAATCGCATATTACACTGCAGGTATGGTATCATCAAGGTCATATATAGCTGCAGGAAGACTTCCTTGCTCCTCTACTCAAAATGTGTACAGCTCAAAATGTTTGTGTTGTCAGTCCATTTCTGATTTTGTCAGAGCAAGTATTTACCTGGTTTCAGGAATGATGGGGACAGGGTCAGGATCCGTGTTGTCTCAACAGCAGTTCCTAAGACCTGTCCAGTCTGTGCTGGTGTTCCTTCAGTGATTCTAAAGAATGTGTTTTCTCTCAATTCCAGAAAAGTACGCCATTTTAGCTGCTGCAGGAAGTGATGTTACGTTCCCTGGACCAAAACATCCTGAAATTTATACAAGATCAGCTTGGATTTTTCATAACCACGTAAAATCAGACATTGTTTCATATAGCAAAGTATCTGAACCCCAAATTCTAATCCGAAAGAAGTACAAAAGTCGAATTCAGCCTGATGCAACAACTTTGACCCTTGTCCTGCTGAATGTACAGGAATCTGACACCGGTATCTACAAATTTATTAGCCGTCGGCATGTTCGCATCATAAGTGAAGTGACTCTTCATGTGTTCAGTAAGCACAGCTCATACTGCCTATTTGATTACGTTTCACGAATTTAGTAAGATTTGTCTCTTTTTACCACTCTTGTTCTGAAATAATTTGCTGCACACAGGGATAAAGGTCTAACTGAGAGATATTCTTCACCCAGCAGCAACCCCTCACTCGCTCTCTCCGTTCTCAGGTTTCTTATCCCATATCCAGTATTAGATGAGCGGAAGTTTCCTTGAATTAAACATTGGGAAGATTGAAGTCAGTGTCTTCAGGCCCATCCTCAACTTCACTTCTTCACCACCCTATCCCTCTTTATCCCTGTCCCTGATAAAAATTGCATCTATGATCTCAGCAGACATTTTTCAAAAGAACCTAAAATATAAGATGATTTATTGATTGATTGATTTTATTGTCGCGTGTACCAAAATACCATGAAAAGCTTTGTTTACAAGTGGTTCAGGCAGATCACAGCAAGCAAAGGAAGTACAGATTAAAAACACTTGGAGACATAAAGTTTACATTGCAGGCTACGTTATTTGAGGCTAGAGTCCATTCAACAGTCTGATAACTACTGTAAAGAAGCTGTTCCTGAACCTGCTTGTGCTTTTGTTCAGGCTTCTGTATCATCTGCCTGACGGGAGAGGTTATAGGAGATCATTACCAGGGTGCGATGGGCCTTTGATGATGTTGGCTGCCTTTCTGTGGCAGCGAGCCGTGTAAACAGAGTCCATGGATGGAAGGTTGGCTTCTGTGATGGTCTGGGCTGTGCACACCACCTTCTGGGCAGAGCAGTTGCCATATCAGGAAGAAGAGGTGTTGTTATGTCTTCTTGACTGTCGCATTTATGTGGGAAGTCCGGGACAGGTCTTCACTCTGAGGAACTTGATGTTCTTCACTCTCTCAACATCAATTCCGTTGATGTAGAGATATCAGATGTGATGACTTGTTGGCCTTTAGTTCTACTAAATCCCTCAGGACCTTGCCTTTATAATTGCAATTATTTTAAGCTTCTCTTCCCCCTTTCAGCTCCTGATTTATCAGTTATTTTTGGGATGTTCGTTATGTCTTCTACAGAGAATGCCTGCAGCCAGAATGAATTTTAATCATATATCTGCACCCTCAACAAGACCATCTATTGCCACTTGTGTAACAACAACTGACTGTCCTCCTGCCTCAGCTCATCTGCTACGGAAACTCTCATTCATGCATTGTTAGCCCCAGGTTTGGCTATTCCTGCACACGCCTGACCAGCTTCCCTGATTCACTGAGATAACAAGGTGTAGAGTGAGAAAATTTTTTTTCTGAACAAGGGTCTAGGCCCGAAACGTCAGCTTTCCTGCTCCCCTGATGCTGCTTGGCCTGCTGTGTTCATCCAGCTCTACACTTTGTTATTCTCAGATTCTCCAACATCTGCAGTTCCTACTACCCCTTCCCTGATTCACTCTCTGGATTCAAGGTTGTCTAAAATTCTGCAGCCAATGTCCCTGCATCACTGTTGGTTCCTAGATTTTAAAAATTCTTATCCTTGTTTTCAAATCCCTCTGTGGCTTTGACCTTTCCTATCTCTGCAAGCTCCTTCATCCATACATCCCTCTGCAAAGTCTACACTCTGCTAATTATGGCCTCTTGAGAGTCCCTCATTTTTATCATTGTACCATTGATGGCTGTGCCTTCAGCTGCCTGGACGTCAAACTCTGGCATTCCCTCCCTACTCTTCTCCATTTCTCCCTTACTTTCCTCCTTCAAGACAAACCTTATAACTTCCACTTTGAACAAGCTTTGGTTCCTCCATCCAAAAATCTCCTCATGCAGTTTGTTCTGATGTTCTGTTTTATGTATCTGTGAAATGCCTTGGGATATTTTATTGTGTTCAAGATATTATATAAATTCAAGTTGGTGTTGTGCACCATGAGTTTAAACTGGCTGTTCACCACTGGAAGCTTCTGTTCTCAGTACAGTCACATGATGGTCATCATTGTCAACATTCTGGGGGTTATCATTTGACCAGAAACTCAACTGGACTCACCATATAAACACAGCGGCTACAAGAGCAGGACAGAGCCTAGGAACACTGTGGCAAATAACACATCTCCTGATTCCCCAAAACCTTTCCACCATCTACAAGGCACAAGTCAGGAGTGTGATTGAATAATCCCCACTTGTCTTGATGGCTCCAACAACACTCAAAAAGCTTGACTGGCTCCACATCCACAAGCGTCCACTCCCTGCACAACTGATGCTCAGCAGCAGCGCCGCATACTATCTACAAGATGTACTGCATAAATTCGCCAAAAATTCCTAGATAGCACCTTCCAAACCCACAACCACTTCCATCTAGAAGGACAAGAGCAGTAGATACATGGGAATGCTACCACCTTCAAGCTCCCCTCCAAGCCACTCTCCATCCTGACTTGGAGCTATATCGCCATTTCTTCACTTTCACTGGGTCAAAATCCTGAAGTTCCCTCCTTTTAGGGCCTTGTGAATCAACCTACAGCAGGTGGACTGTGGCAGTTCAAGAAGACAGCTCACCACCGAGGGCAACTAGGGACAGGCAAAAAATGCTGCACAGCCAGCAATCCTACATCCCACAAATAAATTTAAAAAATCAATTTTGTAGCATTCTTGGAGGTTTCCCATTCCCTCAGTGGAGGGCATTGAGGAAATTTGTAGATATTTATGTCCCCTCTACAACTCCATCTTGTCTCATGTTCCCTCTCTTACTTTCTCCTGTCTCTCTCTTAGCCCATTTTCCACTTACTTTGTTCCTGTATAATTCCAGCTTCTCGCTGTCATTTGTTTCCTCTTCCTTTCCCCTCCTTATCATATCTCCCTTTTCCTCTCTCCATCTCCACCTCTTCTCCCACCTCCTGCCTTATTCTTCCATTCTCTCCTCACTGAAGGAAATACTGGGTCAAAATTCTTCACTCAGATGAAGCGAGGAGTAGGTTGTGTCCCTTTCTTCATTTGGCCAACTTCAGCCTTTCTCCACTTTCCTGCTGCTCTGTGTGGGTGCTAGTACAGAGACTGGAATAAGACTATTCATGAGAAGTTGATTTCTACAGCCCTTAATGGCCTATAGTTGAAACAGGATCAACTCCTGGACGGAGTGCGAGACCACAGTTGACACAAATAGTGTCTCCTAACTTTGAATTAGTTCTCCCTCATCCTGGACCAGAGGAGTGGCTCCTTTAACATAGGAATGGGATGCTACTCTGTAATAGTGTGTCATTGATATCACAGAAACGAGAAACGATTAACTCTGTTTTAAGCCACTGGCTGTTGAGTCTTCCACTAATTTCCAGCTCCTGCTCATATTTCACAAAGCACCTCCAGCTTTCTTCTCAAAACCACAGTCTGATCGAGCTCACGATCCACTTATTGTAACACAAGACCAAGGTATAACAGATACCAGAAAGCTGAAATAAAAAGCCAATTCACCAGGTGGTAGCATCTGTGCAGAGAGAAACATCCTACAAGTCCACGATTTTTTCTGAGAACTTCATTGAACATTTCCTTCCAGAATTACTGTTCACATATGGAAGATGAATGTAGCATTCCCAGCCATGTACACAATTTCAGTATTAAGCACTCACAGGTTCAAACCCAGGCTCCCATCAGCACTCATCTCAGGGCCCACACTGTTCCCAACTGGATCAGTTGAGGCCAGTGTACTGAGCAAGGACCTGCAAATCTTCACAAGTTTAGATATGTATCTCACCAACATCTCCCTGTGCCCAATATAATCATGAAGTGCTTCGAGAGCCTGGTCATGGCCCACATTAACTCCAGTCTCTCAGCCTGCCTCGATCCCCAACAGTTTGCCTACCAACACAACAGATCCACAGAGGATGCCATATCCCTAGCCCTGCACTCACACCTGGAACGTCAAACTCCTGCTTGTTGACTACACCTCTGCCTTCAACACCATTTCTGATCTGCCTGCACCACTTGTAAACAAAGCTTTTCACTGTATTTTGGTACACGTGACAATAAAACCAATCAATCAAATATCCAGGGTTTAATTTCCAGTTTGCAAATGATAGCTGAAAGAATTTCAGGGTTCCATTCTCAGGTCCATCAGTGAGCTTTTGCCCATCCCTCACTGTGTCCATTTTCAACACTGATCACCTTCATGGTTCCCTAGAATGAGATTGCTGGTCTGTGTGCTCTGAGCGGATTTGGTTGGAGACTTACTGATTGTAGTTGTGTACAGACACCACATTATTATCCAGGATTAACTTCTGATTAGGCTGTGACTGTGGAAGGATTACATGGGTTATCACTCTCTCCTGAATATTAAAATTCTGTTTCATCTCTTTCCAGAACTGCTTGTTGAACCTCGCATATCCAGCAATTCCAGCCTGGAAAACAGTACAATTGCATTGACCTGTGCAGTATCAGGGAAAGTCGAGTCTGTCATTTGGCTTGCAATAACAGACGCTGCTGCTAAAAACCGATACAAATTGATCCATGATAACACGACTTTGGTCATCCAAGATGCACAGAAATCGGACTCTGGTATATATGGTTGTTTCATACGAAACCCGTTCAGTAAATCCAGCGCCTTCTATGAGCTGACAGTCAAATGTGAGTGTGTCAAATTTTCTCTCTAATGTGGAAAGGTGTCACTTTCTTGTAATTAACTGTTTTTAAATCAGGATTGGAAAATGGAATGGTTTCTGCAAAAGTGTATGTAATTCAGCATGAATCCTGTTTGGTAATAGGTAGAGGCCTTGGTGTTTGAGATTCCTACAAGTGGGACTGGGTGAATAACAGCAGTTGGTGTCTATTATGATGCACGTTACCCATGGAATTGGATCTGGGAAGTTGGGGACAGAATTCCCAACACAGGGTCTTTTCCCCGTGTCTCCTTTCAGCATGGGAGTGTGGAAAGTGGAATGCCAAGTCATTCCTCTGGCCTCCAACCCCACTCACACCCACCACACATTGAAGTTCAGCCCCACTCTGACCTTCACTAAATATCACTCTCCAGAACTTCCATTGCTGCAGTGCTCTGCTCCAGCAGCACATGAGTAAATGAGCCGGCAAGGATTGTCGGCAGCCAATTCACCACAAAGATCCCGTCACATAGAGGTGAAAACTGCTGTCACTCTGTGTATCCAACACATCTGACTGGAACCAGTGTGTTCATCTGACCAACACTGGTGTGCTGACCTGACTAACAAAGAAGTGTTCACCTGATGGGAATCAATGTATATACCTGACAGATATTGATGTGTTTACCTGACTGGCACTGATTTGTTCACTTGGCTGGCACCAATGTCTCCATCTGACTGGCAGTAATGTATTCACTTGATGAGTATCCATGTGTTCACCTGGTGGGCATTGATGTGTTCATCTGACCGGCAATAATGCTTTTACCTGATGGATATCGATGCATTCACCTGACAGGCATCGATATGTTCACTTTGCTGACTTAGATATGTTCATCTGACAGGCTCTGATGTGTTTACCTGACGGATACCGATATGTTTACCTGATGGACACCGATGCGTTCACTTGGCTGACACTGATGTGCTCACCTGACTGGTACTGATGTGTTCAAATACGTGCATTAATATGTTTAACTGATGGGCATTAATGGTAGGCATTAATCTGTTCACCAAACAGTCACTGATGCTATTCATAATGTTATCAGCTGGTGAGTACGAATATCTTCACCATCCAAGATTTATGTAGCTAATAGTTGGCTAATTTGTGTCCAAGGTTGCGACCAAAATGCTCAAATGATTGTTCACATAACGTACTAATGTGTTCAACAGACCAACACTCTTCACAAGACAGCACTTTTATTTTGAAGATTAGCAACATGGTGACTCAGTGGTTAGCACTGCTGCCTCACAGTGCCAGGGTGATGGGTTCAGTTTGCAGCCTCGGGTGACTGTGTTGCATTTGCACATTCTCCCTGTATCTGCGTGGGTTTCCTCCCGGTGCTCCGGTTTCCTCCCGGTGCTCCAATTTCCTCCCATACTCCAAAGACGCGCAGTTTAGGTGGATTGGCCATGCTAAATTGCCCATAGTGTCCAGGGATGTGTAGGTTAGATGGATTAGCCATGGGAAATGCAGAGGTAGCGGGGGTAGATCTGGGTGTGTCTTGAGTGTCAGTGTGGACTCAATGGACCAAATGGCCTGCTTCCACTGTAGGGATTCTATGATTCTGTAATATGTTCACACAATGTATCATAGAATTATATGTGCAAAATTCTTCTCACATGGAGTGCACTGATGTCTTTTCTATTGACCTCACATTTTTCCTTTTGCAAAAGACTTTAAAAATATTCTGAAGAAAAGTCACTGGACCTGAAACATCAACTCTGCTTCTCTCTCTATAGTTACTACCAGACCTGCTGAGTTTCTCTAGCAATTTCTGTTTTTGTTTCAGATTTCCAGATTCACATTTCTTTGTTTGATACAATTCTCTCTGGTTCTCTTACAAGTAGGCACTATTGACACGACTGTAATGCATGTAAAATATGTGATGAAGGTTAGTGGGAAGCCTTTATAAACCAACAGAAGATAACTAAAAATGCACTAAGGAGGGAAAAGATGAGATATGAGGGTAAGCTAGTCAGTAATATTTTAAAAAAACTGCAAGAGATATTTTAGATATCTGAAAAATAAGAGAGTGGCAAGAGTGATCATTGAACACTGGAAAATGAGGCTGGAGAAGTAGAAATGGGAAACAAATAAATGGCGGAGGAACTGAATAGGTACTTTGCATCGATGTTCACAGTGGAAGATACCAACAACGTACCAAAACTTCAAGAGATTTGGGACAGAGGTGAGTGTAGTGGCCATCACTAAGGAGCTGGGGAATCTGAAAGGTCTGGAGGTGGATAAATCACCCGGACTAAATGGACTTCACCCTAGAGTTCTGAAGGACATAACTGAAGAGATTGTAGCAGCATTGGTGGTGATCTTTCAGGAATCACTGGGGTCAGGGTGGGTACCAGAGGACTGGAAAGTGGCTATGTAACAGTCCTGTTTAAGGAAGGAGGGAGGCAGAAGACAGGAAACTACAGGCCAGTTACCCTGACCTCGGTCGTTGGTAAGATTTCCGAGTCCATTATTGAAGGTGAAATTGCGGAGAACTTGGAAATGCATGGTAAAATCGGATTGATTCAGCTAGGCTTCATCAAGGAGAGGGAAGATCGTTCCTGACGAATCTGTTTGAATTCTTTGAGGAAGTAATGGATCAGTTAGACAAAGGAGAGCCAGTGGACGTGATCTATTTGGATTTCCAGAAGGCCTTTGACAAGGTGCCACACAGAAGTCTGCTAAATAAGAGCCCATGGTGTTAACAGCAAGGTATTGGCATGGGTAGTGGGTCAGTTATCAATGGAGTTTACCAGGATGAAGGGGTCTCTGACTGAAACTTAGAGAATACTAAGAGGCCTGGATAGAGTGGATGTAGAGAAGATGTTTTCACCAGTAGGAGAGCCTAGTACCCGAGATCACAACCTCAGAGTTAAGGGACATCCCTTTAGAACTGAAATGAGGAGGAATTTATTTAGCCAGAGGGTGGTTAATCTGTGGAACTCATTGCCACAGAGGGTTGCGGAGGCCAAGTCATTGAGTGTATTTAAGACAGAGATAGATAGGGTCTTGATTGCTGAGGGGATCAAAGGTTACAGGGCGAAGACACAAGAATGGGTTTGAGAAACATAGCCATGATATAATGGTGGAGCAGACTCGATGGGCTGAATGGCCTAATTCTGTTCCTATATCTTATTGTCTTTTGTTCTTCACTGTTCAGCCTTATGTCCACGGATTGACACCAGTGTATTCAGTGTATGGCTTTATTGTTTCCATGGATTGACACTAATGTATCAGTGTGCAGTCTTACTATCTCCACTGGATTGTCACTGATGTATTCATTGTGTTCACTGGTTTGACATTAAGGTATTCGTTGCCTGGGCTTAATGTGTTCATTGGATTGATAAAATTATTCACTTCACAGCCTCAATATGTTCACTGGATTGACACTAATGTATTCATTGTGCAGGCAAAAGGTGTTGATTCGATTGACACAAATGTATTCATTATCCAGCCTCACTGTTCTCACTGGATTGACGCTAACCTATACATTGTACAGGCTTAGGCATTACAATGGATTGACACTGATGTATTCACTGTACAGAACTGGTCTTGGATTGACAGTAATGTGTTCACAGTCTGTCATTACAGTGCTCACTGGATTGACACTAATGTACTTACTGTACAGCTTTACCGTGTTCAGTGGTTTGAAACTAATGGATTCACTGTACAGATGTTTTGTTCTCAATGGATTGACATGAATGTATTCACAGAATAGCCTTGCTTTTCTCATTGAATTCAGAAAAATGTATTCTTTGTACAGCTTTACTGTGTTCATTTGATTGACATAATACACTCACTGTACGGCCTTGTTGTGTTCGCTGGATTGACGCAACAGGCAGTACTTGAATGCAAAAAGCTTCTGTTTTTAAGTTGTGTTGTATGCTGTAAATTAGTCAGAACATAATGCAGGACAATATAAAATAACCATTCACAAGTACAGGAATCTTTTACATGCGAGATCTATGACATTGTTGCGATTACAGAGACTTGGCTGAAAGAGGGACAGGACTGGCAACTGAATGTCCCAGGGTTTAGATGTTCAGGTGTGATAGAAAGGGAGATAAAGTTGCATTACTGATAAAGCAATATCTGACAGCTGTACTGAGGAAGTATATATTTTAGGGCTCGTGTTTCGAGGCAATATAGGTACAACTCAGGAATACGAAAGGTGAAATCACAATGCTGGGAATACACTACAGGCCTCCCAACTGCCAGAGGATAGAGGAAAGAATATGTAGACAGATTTTGGAAAGGTGTAAAAAGCAAGATTGTTGTTGTGGGTGATTTTAACTTCCCCTGTATTGACTGGGGCTTAGACGTGGCAGAATTAGTAAGGACCATTCAAGAGGGATTCTTGACACAATATGTAAACAGTCCAACCAGGGAAAGAGATATATTGGACCTGGGTTTGGGAAATGAGACGGCCAGGTGAGTGAAGTTTCAGTGGGAGAGCATTTTGGGAGTAGTGACCATAATACCGTGAGTTTTAAGATACTCATGTACACAGATAACAGTAGTCCTTGCGTGAAGTTGTTAAACTGGGAGAATGTGAGCTGTAACAATAGTAGGCAGCAATAAGAGAATTTTGATTGGAGGCAGCTTTTTGAGGGTAAATCTACATTCAGACATGTGGGAGTATTTCAAATGGCAGTTGATGAGAGTTCAGGAGAGGCACATTCCTGCGAGAATGAAGGATAGGTATGGCAAGTTACGTGAACCTTGGATGACCAGGAATGTTATGACCTTAGTCAGAAAAAAAAGGAAGTAAACATAAGGTCTAGGAGGATGGGCGCTGACAAAGCCCTCGAAGTATATAAGGAAATAAGAAAGAACTTAAATAAAGAATTAGAAAGGCTAAAGGGGGTCATGAAAAGTTGTTAGCAAACAGGATCAAGGAGAATCCCAGGTCTTTTCATACATGTATAAAAAGTAAGCGGGTAGCCAGGGAAAGGGTTGGTCCACTCAGAGACAACGGAGAGAATCTATGTGTGGCACCAGCAGAGGGAGATGAAGTCCTAAGCAAATACTTTGTGTCGGTATTCACCAAAAAAAAGGAATTAGTGGAGGATGATCTCGGGGAAGAGAGTGTTGAGCTTCTAAGCCAAGTTGCTGTTAAAAAGGAAGAGGTGGTTTGCATCTTAAAAAGTATTAAGGTACATAAATTCCCTGGTCCTGATGGGATCGATCCCAGAATATTGAAGGAGGCAATAGAACAATTGCTGGAGCATTGACAGACATCTTTGTGTCCTCTTTGGCCACAGGTGAGGTCCCAAAGGACTAGTGCATAGCCAATGTTGCCCCATTGTTTAAGAAGGGTAGCAGGGATAATCCTGTAAATTACAGGCCTGTGAGCCTCACATCAGTGGTAGGGAAATTCTTGGAAAAGATTCTCAGGAACAAGATCTATATGCATTTAGAAGCAAATGGACTTGTTAGTGATAGACAGCATGGTTTTGTGTGGGAGAGGTCATGCCTCACTAACTTCGAGTTTTTTTGAAGAGGTGACGAAGATGATTGATGAGGGTAAAGTGATTTATGTTGTCTGCACGGACTTCAGTAAAGGCTTTGACAAGTTCCCTTATGATAAATTGATACAAAAGATGGAGTCACACGGTACCAGGGGTGAGCTGGCAAGATCGATACAGAACTGACTTAATCATAGGAGGCAGAGGGTAGCGGTGGAAGGATGCTTTTCGGAATGGAGTGCTGTACTAGTGGTGTTCCATAGGGATCAGTGCTGGGACCTCTGCTGTTTGTGATCCACACAAATGATTTGGAGGAAAGCGTAGCTGGTCTAATGAGTAAGTTTGCAGATGATACAAAGATTGGTGGAGTTACACATAGTGAGGAGGATTGTCAGAGAATACAGCAGGATATTGATCAGTTGGAGGCATAGGCAGCAAAATGACAAATGTGAGGTAATGCATTTTGGAAGGTCAAGTACGGATGGAACTTATACAGTGAATGGCAGCAGCCTGAGAACTACTGATATGCAGAGGGATCTGAGTGTTCAGGTCCACACATCACTGAAGGTGGCAGTGTAGGTTGCTAAGGTAGTAAAATAGCTTATGGTGTGTTTGCCTTCATTGGAAGGGGTACAGAGTATAAGGATAGACAAGTTATGTTAGGCCGTACTTGGAATATTGTGATGATGAGGAGGTGCTGGTGCTGGACTGGGGTGGACAAGGTCAGAAATCACATGACACCAGGTTATAGTCCAAAGGTTTATTTGAAAACACAAGCTTT